TATGGGTGATCACTTTAGGCTGTTTTTTTTTTTTCTTTCTCTTCTACACTTATGGAAACAATTAGCAAGATGTTATTACTGGCAGCAGAGCCAGTTTACTTCTGGCTCAGGTGCAATGCAGGAAGAACAGTTCTGAAGGTGGCTTTATCTGGAAACCTTGGAGCTCTGAAGAATTCTTCCCACAGTTGCAAGGAAGGCTTACATCCTCCCAGTTCTTGAGCTTTGGGCATTTTAGCAAGTCCCATAAAAGGAACAGGCTTGACAGCTTCACATATCTCCCAGAGGATCCCAAGTCAAGAGGGCTTTTTGCATGGAGGAAGGGTGGGGAGATTTTATTGTAGGACGTGCAGCAGCCGAGGGCACACCAATGGTGTTTGCTCCTTTTTTCAGTATTTCTTACCACAGTGTTGCAGGTCACTTTCAAGCTGCTTTTGAGAGACTGGGAATGAAATACAGTAGTGGAATTGTAGAAATGTCCTATTACATCAAGTCTTAATTGACCCACAAACAACAGTACCTTCTATAAAAATTGTTTTGGAGCAGCTTTCTCCAATTTAGTGCTCTACAGATGTGTTGGAGTTCAAATCCCATAATACCCAATCAGCATAGCCACATATCTGGAGGATACCAAGTTGATGCAGAGTGCTTTAAACAATATATTTATTAGAAAATATTTGATTGTATGTGCTAAATATACGCAGCAAATATATTTTCTGGCATTATTGTAGGTACAAGCAAGATGAGCAACACTGGCCATTTGAATATGACATGCCAGTTCTCTCCAGGACAAAGGTGTGACCACTCTAAGGATCCAAGTCAGATACTACAGCTACTTGCATTGTTGCCATGAAGAATAGGTTAGCCTAATTCCATGAAATCCACAGGTTCTGACTGTGGATTTTCACTGGCAGAGATTCTCCAAAACCAAGTCTGGTGAAAGTATCTCTCTGTAATGTTTGGAGGTTCCTATTTGTTGTATGTGTATAACACACTAAATTATAAATCATGGTTAGCAGACCACAGAGGTTCAGCCAAAATCAAACATGCCACATTATTTGTTTGTTCATTCAATTTATATGATCACTCACTGACCAGATGACTCAGGGTGGTTAACAAGGGTTCAAAACATCAAATACAAAGGAAAAATAATAAAACAATAAAACAAAATAAAATATACTATGCTGGGGGCCATTATGTCCTAGTAAGTTGTATGATACCAGACCATCATGTTATTTTATGTACTGAATTTATTAAACTTATCATAGCATCACCTACTAACTCTCTTGGTAGTTCACAATAGGAATGTAAATCAAATTTAAAATCAACTCTATTAAAATAGGCAATAAACAACACAATTAAAATCATCAGTTAAAACTTCATTAAAGGGGTGTGTTTCAGGAGCTTTTCATAAGCCAATTAAGAAGTCAATCCTCTTAAATCAGAAGGCAATACTTCCTAAAAATATGGGTATGGTTTATTATTATGTATGTCAGACACTGCAGGTTCTCTTGATATCAGTTTGTTTATACTATGATAATAAATACATACAGAGTGAATTGACTATGGGTGAAATACTCTACACTATTAACAAATTCATAGATCATATTAAGTCATGGGGTTAATATTTTTTTCAATACCAAAATTGGTATTGCACTGTAATTTGAAATGTGCGAACTAGGCTTTATAGCTTGTTCAACAAACCATGGCTAAAATAAATCATGCCCTAGCTCAACTTCCCAAATGTGGCGCCCTCCAGATGTGTGAACTTAACTCCCAGCCAGCATGACCATTGTTGAGTATTCTGGAGTTGAAATACACACAACTGGAATGTGTCAATGTTGGGGAAAGCTGCCTTAGTCCATTATATGAACCCAGCCAATCTTATGTGGGCTGCAGTGATATATCTTCTCTACATGTTAATTCTCAGGTAAATTAGCCATGTACACCTAGTAAAATAGATTAGGATGATAACATGTAAACCCTCATTAATTCTTTCCAGATTGACATGGGTTTACATGTTTTATGAACACAGCCACTACAAGATTTGTTACTGATTATGAATGGTAATGGTTGAAGCTCCCTATCTCTCACAGCAAGATTTTTTATTTTTTTGTGAGAGCCAGTCACTCTCTCTCAGCCCTAGGAAGCAGGCAATGGCAAACCACTTCCAACATATTGCCAAGAAAACTGTGGGGACTTGTCCAGGCAGTCGCCAGGAGTCAACAATGACTTGAAGGCACCAAAACAAACAAACAGGGCAATCTGATCTCTCATACAGGTAGAAATCCAAAATAGGTGCAATATTTATGACTGGAGGCTTTTGCCATCAGCCTGCATCTGAGCTTGGCATGATGTTTCCTATTCAGGAGGCTCTATGTGCAGGTTTCTGTTCAATGATCTTAACACTTAGGACTTTTAGAGAGCATTGCACTAAGTACACAAGAATACATTTTTATCTAAGAGATTTCATAAGTAATCAAGATTTCAGGACTATTATTCTGAGAGGATATCTAGCCAACTTTGGGTGATCTTTCAAGTTAAGCAGAATCAGACCTGGCTAGCCTTTGAATGGGGGACTGCAAAAGAATTGCAGTTAGACTGGGAAGATCCAGAAGAAGGTAATGACAAACCACTGAAATACTGAAACCACTGAAATGCATGAGTGTATCTCTGTAGTCACCAAGGATAAGCTGAACTCAGGGGACTTTTTATCCAGAGACAATTGTCTGCTGGCAGTTTTGAATCACTGGACAATTAATTTATATGAGGACTCTTTCCAAAAGTGGCAGCAAAGCACTAACTCACATTCTCCAGAAATTGCTAGAAAATGTGAATATACTCTGTGTTCAACTCTGCCCATCAGAGCATAAGTACATGAACCAATCAAAGGTTGGATTGATTATAATAAATGTCATGATTCCAGGATATTGGATGATGAATTTTATTTCATTTTTTTATTTTATGGTAGTTACAACCCAGCCTAATCCCAAAGGATTCTGAGTGGCATACAACATAAAAAAGAAGAAATCCCAATAATAAATAAATAAATAAGTTCAAATGAATATAAAAAACAAAATACAACTGTTGTATTCTTATAATTGTAGATTGGGCTGAATGATAAACTGACTATAGTTTATTAAACAAGCCTGGTTAACACAATGCAAATCCATATACAGTGGTACCTCGGGTTACGAACGCCTCTGCTAACGAACTTTTCGGGTTACGACCA